CATGCAATCATTTCATCCTACTGCCTTATAGCTCACTTAAAATCAATCGCTTCTCAATAATATCTATAGATGTATCCTAATTGAAGGGAATATTTTACTCTCAAAATATAAAATCCGATATCCAATACAGTTACAAGTATAAATTTCAACTTAACTCTTGCTTAGTGGTGTTGGAGATTTAGCAGCAACTGAAGATACCCTGAGTTACAAGAGATCACGTGGTGTTACATAGGCTGAAAAGAGACTTGCCTTCATCAAAGTTCAGCTTTCCTCACATTTGTTTTTTTGCTGTTGATCCAGAAGAAGACAAAAAAAAATTCCAGTTTTTAGCACTTCCAATTTTGCAACAAAATAGAAAACAAATTCCTTCTTGACCCCAGAATGGCAGTCGGATTCATCCTTGGATCGGAAAGCTATTACCGTACATTTGAAAAATTACAATACAGTTACAAGTATAAATTTCAAAGAGCCTTCATTTAAAATAAAACTTTCATTTAAAATAGAGCATTCATTCGAAATAATTAATTAAAATAATTAATGAAACAATTAAACAATCATTTAAGGGAGTCTTGGATGGCAACTTGTTAGTAATAAGATACATTGACCATTTTACTTCATATTAATTACAATTTACAATAAAAATAACAAAATATAATTACACACAATTCTCAATTTTTCTAAATTTTCCAAAACTATAAAAATCATACCATTTGATAGAAATACAAATCACACATCGAAATATTAACTTGCATGTAAATGTCTTTGTGACAAACTGCCATTTGCCACTGGGCATTGGAGAGGACTGATTGCTAGCCTCCTGCCCTGCGACTATGGCCCTGGGATGTATTGCCCTTTAAGAACTGATTTGGGCTTATGGACTTTTATTGTACAGTGCTGGCCCTTTTAAAAACAGTGTATGGACACATGGAAACTTTTTGGACACTTTTTCTTCACCTTTGAATCCCTGGGAAGGTGAGGCTCTTCCCCTCCCCCCAGCTCCATTGTTCTCCAGCAGGGAGTTGTCCCAGGGACACTGCCAGACCAGTGGGAACTGGTTTGGGAAGGAAAAGCCATGCTTGCAATTGATAATAAAGGGACCTCAACCTAACTTTTAACCCCTGGACGGATTCATGTGATTTTTACATATGTTGCTCCCCAAGTTATGCTGATGTAAACTCACAAAGCTATAAAAATGTATAAAAAGTGTAACTTTTCAGCTTGGAGATAATTGAGTAGATACAGTCATTGACTCAATTATCTCCTAAGCAGAGGGGAGGAATATGATGGGTGTGTTTCTATTGTCCCATTGTGTCTGATTGGCTGCTGTACTTGCATTGTATATGTTGTAATGTGTTTATTGGTTGTTCTGAAAAACCCTGTGGGTGGTCCTATGTAGGGAAAACCTGCATAAAAGAAGGCCCTTTGGTGCCAATTAATACAGATCTTCTTGACCCTCAATATGTAGCCTTGTCTCGTTATTGGAGGGAACTGCTATATCACCTGACACCAGGAGGGGGCCCGGCGGCTTGCCTGGTATGCCACCGGGTGCAAGGCCCTTCCTGGCTGCCCGGCCACCATCGCAGACACAGGTCTGCAGCTCCGCATTGAGCAGAGCTGCAGATCATGTGTCTCGCGAGAATTGGCCAATCAGAGCGTTGCCGCGGGTTACCACGGCAACGCTCTGATGGTCTCGCGATATTATACGGTCTGCAGCTCTGCGGAGCTGCAGACCGGAAGAAGTGGCCACTGGACCACCAGGGAAGAGAAGTTAGGCTCCCTCACCACCCTCAGCCTCCCCCCACCAGCCTCCCCACCCCCCCACCAGCCTCACCACCCTCAGCTTCCCCCTCACCAGCCTCACCACCCTCAGCCTCCCCCACCAGCCTCACCACCCTCAGCCTCCCCCCCACCAGCCTTCCCACCCCACCAGCCTCCACCACCCTCAGCCTTCCAGCCCCCCACCAGCCTCCACCACCCTCAGCCTTCCAACCCCACCAGCCTCACCACCACCCTCAGCCTTCCCACCCCTACCAGCCTCACCACCGCCCTCAGCCTTCCCACCCCCCACCAGCCTCACCACCCCTCAGCCTTCCCACCTCCCACCAGCCTCTCACCACCCTCAGCCTCTCTGCACCCTCAGCCTTCCCACCCCCCCCACCAGCCTCACCACCCTCAGCCTCCCCCCACCAGCCTCACCACCCTCAGCCTTCCAACCCCCACCAGCCTCACCACCACCCTCAGCCTTCCCACCCCCCCACCAGCCTCACCACCACCCTCAGCCTCCCCATCCAAAGCTAAGCTGGAGGAGGATGGTGCGTCAAGGTTCCGAGCGGAAGCTGTAGAAGATTGCCCTGTGTTAGCCAGTCAACTATGTCCTCAGAACTTTTCGAGTTCAGGATACGTGGCCTCTGAACACTGGGCATTATTCTAGGGCCAAAGGGAATCACAGCACCACGACAGACCCTGCGTGGTGGCCTGCCTCTGCCTGTCATTTTTTTTCGATTAGTGGTACTATGCGTGCAAGCTACTGTGACAACAGATATGAGTGGCACTGTGCAGTGGCAGAAGTTGGCAGAGTAGACGCTGTAGGCCTGACACACACGCTTGCAGACAACTAACTGCTATTCAATCTATTACAGTCAAAATTGTATATTTTTTTTTAAATGTACACTACTGTTACACCAGATGTGAGTTGCACTGGTGTGACACTGTGCCCTGGCAGGCCCTGAAATGCACACACGTGAAGGAAACTGACTGCTATTATATTACAGTCCAAAAAGTTTTGTTGTTTTTAAATGCAAGCTATTGGGACACCAGTGAGTGAGTTGTGGCACTGGGCAGACCCTGAAACGCACACTCGTGAAGGAAACTGACTGCTATTATATTACAGTCCAAAAAGTTTTGTTGTTTTTAAATGCAAGCTATTGGGACACCAGTGAGTGAGTTGTGGCACTGGGCAGGCCCTGAAATGCACACCCGTGAAG